GATTTTGGTTCATTTTTCATTCTTTTATTTTATTTTATGTTTTTGGGTGGAAAAGGCGCTAAATGCTAATAGTCGAAATGGTTTTTTAAATATATTTTCTTAAAACTTTTATTACGAAAATCTACTTAAAACATTCAATAAAATTCAAATTTAAAAATAAACTGCCAAGTAGAAAAGTAGTTAAACAATTATTACAAAATAATTACAACTTGTGCTATAATATTCAAATCAAATCAATAAATATTATTACTCACCTTAATTATAATGAACAAACAATTATCGCACATATTACTATTATTATATACCCGTTCAAAAGAATATAGATTTTTTTTTCTTTATTTATATATTTTGACACACACATATGTAATGGAAAAATGCTTGATATATGTAAAAATTCATGCAAAATAATTTACCTACAAAAAATTAATTTTATTTGATTCAAATAGTGCACCTACCATTAAAAATTTTAAATGTTAGATAGCTAAGAAAAAGCAACATAATTTACCCAATATGTGTAAAATACATGTGAACTAATTTACCTACATAATAAAGCAAACCCAATATATGCAAAATACATGCAAAAATATAAGTTTTTAATTCAAAGTTAATCCTCAAGAACAAAATTAACTGAACAAGACATAAGATATCAAAGTAAAAATTGCCTAATTAAGATTATAGGTCGGTCAAGTATCTGCCACAAATTTTTTCTCTATAGACATGTTGAATTTGCATTGCCAAAATATTGAAAGCAACTCTTGACAGGCCAAACTAGGGGACCCAAATACTGATTATTGCCAGTAGCTTACAAAACCAAATGAACTATGAGTGTAGAACCTAATTCAACCAAAAATTTATCAATCAATAATCTACATGCCAATTGGAAGCCCAAATAAAGCATATATATATATATATATATATATATATCAGCAGTGGGAATCTCAATTGAGCCCAATTTGGCACATTACCCAAAAATCCATTTACCATCAGAATAGCTTAAAACACTGCTCAAATAGAATTATTATTTCTCTTCTTACAACCAACAACATTAAGCTTAAATCAACATGAAGGGGGAGCTTCTCAATGAAGCAAAGGGGTTTATCAGTCTATTGAGTATTATCCTTCAACCATTCACGAAGATAAGTTCAAATAGTAACTGTAGACTCATCAGTCATTGTAAAATTATGCTAAAAAAATATAAATTTATTTCGCCAATACCAAATAAACCAACACACAATTGAAAAAACTAACTTCCACCCTTCCCCAGCGATATGACTGATTTAGTGGTAGATCAAAATTAAGTTAATCATGAAAATTAATGTGGCCTGATTGTTGATTGTACATTTCCAACGCTCTATCAAGCTGACAATCTTTAAGCACATGAGTCACAGATTCAAAGCGACAAGTACATCTTTGACACCTAGGGTTATCAGTTGTACCCCTTTTTAGCCTTTGATCATTAGTTAGGAGCTTATCAAGAGAGAGCAACCATAAGGAACTCTAAACTTTTGGATGAATATATAATTTTCAAAAGAGATTCCATCGCTAATTAGGAAAACCATTAGAACTGAAGGCCAACATATAAGCAGATTTAATAGAAAAATTACCATCACTTGTTCCACTCTAAATACACTTATCAAAAACCAACTGAAATGCTAAGAATTTGTAATGTTTATGCCCATTATGCCCCTAAAATAAATTAAAAGAATAATTGATACATCTCAACTAGAATGTCCACGTGTCCATCTAGACCATGATGTGCTAGCCAACATCTTGAGAGTGACGAAGCCATAAAGTATGGTTGATATGTAAAAGTGAGAATAAATTTGAACTTTAAATAAATAAATCAGCGTGCACAATGTGATTGGGTGGTAAAACTTATTACAAAACGTGAATTTTAGAGTATAGTGCATAAAGATAAAAGTAGTCTTATCCGTAAATGATGATTATTTAATATCACAAGAAACCTATTTTGATCGAAGACAGTTCGCTAAATCCATTGAATCCTCGTACTCCCACGAGCTCAATCTCTACGATCTGGAGGGGCAAAAAATAAGGATGAGTGGTTCTTTTGATTTTATATACACATATATATGTGATTTTTTGCATAAATGTTTCTTTACTAAATTAATGTGACATGTCATGTTTATCTTCTTATTAGATTTTCTACACCTTATATTTTTATTAAATGCGGTATAAAATGTGGCATGACATCTTTATTTGTTATATTTATTCATTGTCACATATTTGCACAGTGTTTATTAGTTAGTTGTACTTTCCTGGGCCAAGAACTAGCTTCACGTGTATGTTCACATGCACTGTTTACATTCGCTTTGGATCCAGAGTTAGGTGTCAGCCTATCCCTAGGTTTGTTGTTTGGACTCGTATGTGATGTGCGTTGAGCTAGCTTCATGTGATGTAGTACTAGAACGTAAAACTTACACTCAGCTAGCTACTTCTATATGACTTCAGTGCCTACATAGATAATGAGCAATGATTTTCATATCAGTAATTTTCATAGCATTGATTTTCATAACTGTGATTTTATGATAGCGATTTGAGTTTTGACAATGAGATATTTCGTAGTAGCATCCTATATCCTTTAACTCATTTGTGCTGCAAGGTTCCCTACTACGTATTATTATATTATTACTTTGGAAATCATATACTTGTTTTACAGCGAGGGATTATACTTTTTCAAAATGGTTTCAGAAAACTTAAATCCCTGGTTTATGCATTTACTTGCTTTGTAACCATAAGCACCTTCAATCACCCTAATACACATCTGTCAAATTTATAAGCATATACATAATACAATTATCTACCTACGATTAAAAGATTAATTTTTATCTACCTATAAAAGACATAAAAAAAAATAATTTATATTTGTATGACAGAGATGAAAACTATTGTTTACCTATGGAAAAGATTTCCATCATTATCTACCTATAGCAATTATATATAAACACAACTTTGTACCTATTGCAATGAAAGAAAATTAGAATTGGGTACCTAATAAATAGGTTGCATGTAGAAATATAAGACGAAGACTTGATATGTATGTTGATAGAAGATAAGCCCCGCCATCATTTGAACCAAGTCAGAAAAGAGGTAAATACGAGGAAAATTACTCCTTAATATCTATTGTCGAGGTAAATACCGTAGTAGTAGGAGAGAAAAAAGAAGAAGAAGCGTCTCAAATGCATATATAAATCAAGTTAAAAAGGAAAATAAAAATGATATGTATAGGACTAATATAGAGCTTGACCTGGCCAATTTGCTTGGATTACTCAAGGGTATAATAGGAAGTTAATTGAGTGAGAAATATGGTCAATGGATTTGTATTGAAATACAAGGCCTCGATTGGCAGTTTGTATAAGTGATCGGATAGAACTAATAGTGCGGAGCCAGATGTTTGGCGCCCTTCCGTATTAAATAAGCACTAAACTAATTTAACCGGTCAACTTATTTTATCTGGTATACACTTGACTAATAAAACCATCCAAAATGAATGTGTTATTAATACGGTCAATATCTGATACTGCACCAAACGCTTGACTAATTTAGTCAATATTATACGATGACTATTTATCCTATCCGACTGTAATAATCAGTATAGTCTGAATTGCCAAACGTGGTCAAGTTTTTTCCTGAACTATGCTTGTGAAATGGGTTGGTATAAAATTTTTTATTTTTAAAATAAATAGATATGGATGTTGATTACCATCAAAGAAGAATTATTGTTTAGAATGAGGCAAAGAAAGATATAAAGCAAGTCTGACATGTACGTGTCAACAACCATATTAAATTTGAGATTGGAAATGGGATTTGTTTCAACTCCAAAATACAAAAACAAAGACTCACAAAAGTGGGATTTGTTAAGACTGTTATGTCAAACACTAAGGCCCAAAGCAAAGACTTGTTAGATCAGATCTAGTGGTGGGTTTATGACTTAATGCCATTGTCATTGCAAAAATTATATTCTTATACCTAATACTTTTATATTTTGATCCAAATCTAGTGGTGGGTGTAAGTTTTCTTGTTTTATCCTCCAATGTATGTACTTATCAAATGCCAAAATTTAGTTTTATTATTTTGGACATTTGCATTGGAGGAGAAAACTTTGAAGTAAAAACACGATTTTAAATTTTAACAATTTATGTATGTGCATTGAAGATGATTCGATCGAAAACTATAATGTTATTTTACTTGTTCGAATGGTACCATTGTTTGACTTAGATATTTTCTTAAAAGCCTAATATAACTTTTTAATTTGACTAAAAACTTATATACGAGTTTTAACTTTTTGATGAAAAGATTTGAGTCGAAGAATGCTGGTGAAAGTCATCTTATATGCATATATTCATTACAATATAGTATTTATACACTCTTTAATACATACGGATCTTACATACGCATACAATTATACGTCTCTATCCATCAACTTTGTACAAGTATAAAGCATTATTATATGTAATTTGTCAATCGTCTGGGGTAATCAATGCATTATAAATTTGTTGGGTGCAAAATCTAAAACCCAGCAGAATCAAAGAGTCCAAGACACATCAATGCTTTTGCAAGTAAGAACCCAAAAAGCCTAATAACTATACAACCCTACTACTTACTCATACTCCGTCCTACTACCAATAGACAAGACTCTCTCTCTCTCTCTCTCTCTCTCTCTCTCTCTCTCTAGAGAGAGAAAGTCCTTGAGAAATGAGCAGAGTGAGTCTTTATTTTATGCCTTGTATATGAGGTTGTTTTCATGGGGGTCCAGCTTGATGTGTGTGCCGGTTACATTTCTCCCCGCCAACGAAACGAAACAACACACCGAAAGCACAAAACAAAAGAAGGAAAAAAAAAAAAAAAAAAACGATAAAAAGAAAGAAGAAAAGAATTCCCAAAATCCAATATATATATATAAAGGACAAGCGTGAAACCCACTCTGCTCTATACATCCACAGTCCAGACCCTTTCTTTTTCCTCTCTCTCTCTATAGCTATACAGTACTATTTTCTCCCTCTCTCTCTCCCTCCCTCTCCCCTGCTGCACCACCACACCACAACCCAAAGCAAAAAATAGAGAGAGAGAGAGAGAGAGAGAGAGAGAGATGGGTGTGAGAGTGATGAGCTTTTCTTTCGTATAATGAGCAGAGGACCAAAACCTCTTCTTCTCAGAAGAAGATGGCAATGAATCACGACCAACACCAAAACCCACAAAGCCATTCACTTTTGCTGGATGCTTTGCTCTGTGAGGAGGACAAGTGGGAGGAGGACGATGGAGAGGTGGTGGAACAAGAAGTGAGTAGTGGTGAGAACTACAACAATGGCGTCAGTGGGAAAAACCCAAACTTCCCTTCTCTGTTTCCCATGCTCCTGTTGGAACAAGATCTGTTCTGGGAGGATGATGAGCTTGTTTCTCTCTTTTCCAAGGAGGAGCAGCAACAGACGCATTTCGTCAAACACATGGAGGGCATGGGAACAGAGGACTCTTTGATCTCCGCGGCTCGCCGTGATGCCGTGCTGTGGATGCTCAAAGTGAACGCCCATTACGGGTTCACAGCCCTCACTGCAATCCTAGCCGTTAACTACTTCGATCGGTTCATCTCAAGCCACCATTTCCAGAGAGACAAGCCGTGGATGGTCCAGCTTGTGGCTGTCACTTGCCTCTCTCTGGCTGCCAAAGTGGAAGAAACCGAAGTTCCTCTGCTTTTAGACCTTCAAGTAAATAATCATTTTTGTGCTTAAAGCATCGATTTTTCTTCTAAATTTTCGATTAATCTCCCAAATATAAAACATGGCTTTCGTTCTTCATCAGGTGGAGGACACGAAGTACTTTTTCGAGGCGAAAACGATTCAGAGAATGGAGATTTTGGTGCTCTCAGCTCTCCACTGGCGGATGCATCCAGTGACGCCACTTTCGTTCCTCGACCACATCATAAGAAGGCTCGGATTGAAAACCCACCTCCATTGGGAGTTCCTCAAGCGCTGCGAGCGTCTCCTTCTCTCCGTAGTCTTCGGTAAGCAGAAACCGTAACGCTTCCATTAGCACAAAAAAGCTTAAACTTTTCGATAAGAACAAGGAAACAGAGCAAGATTTAATACAATTTTTAAGTCTTTCTCGACAACTTGTTTACTTTTTCGTGTTGGGTTTTTCTCAGATTCGAGATTTGTCCGTTATTTGCCTTCTGTTTTGGCCACTGCAACAATGATGCGCGTTATAGACCAGGTCGAGCCTTGGAATGCCATTGAATACCAGAACCAGCTTCTTGGTGTTCTCAAAATAAGCAAGGTTGGTCTTTTTACGTTTTGTTTTTTTTTTTTTTCCGTTTCGAAAGACGGTATTCTAAATTAATTTACGTAAATAAAAAAAAGAGTAAAAAATAGACTCGAACTTGGGATAGACATAATGCAATGCCAACGTTATGTTTCTGTTTCATTTAATTTCATGATTTTGATCAGTTTCAAGCTACTTCAAAGTTCAAACAGAAGATCAATTAATGCACATTCTTAAGGTGTATGATTTGTTTAATGCTGGTTAGTTATTGTTTAATTAAGTGATGCTGCATTGCGAAACAGGAAAAAGTGAACGACTGTTACAGTCTGATAATCGACTATGATTACGCCTGCAGCAACAACAAAAACAGCACCAACAAACGCAAGCATGATCAAATCCCGGGCAGCCCAAGTGCGGTGATTGATGCATATTTCAGCTATGAAAGCTCAAATGATTCGTGGCCAGTGGGATCATCAGTTTCTTCATCCCCACAAGCACTTTTCAAGAGGACCAGAAAAGCAGAAGCAGAAGAGAAAGAGAAGAAATTGGCCTCACTCAGCAGGCTCTTTGTGGGCATTGTTGGTAGCCCACCTTAATTAATCTCATTATTTAATTTCTCTTCCAATCTAAAAACCCAAAAAAAAAAAAAAAAAAAGATTTTAAATCCATGCTTATCATGGTAATTTCCCTTTTGGTGAAAATCTGAAGTGCTGAGCTGCTGCCATAGAAATGCATTTCTCTGGTTTAATTTTGAAGGACAATGGCCACAGTTTTACAGTCATGTCCCGGGGACTAGGAGATGATGGAGCTGTGGGGATTATTTACTATTACTTGATGGCAATTTACAGCAAAGAGGAGGGGCAGGATTGGTAATTTAACATAGAATACTCTTCGGTCTGCTTCTCTCTAAAATTTTATGGGGCACTCATATCGTATATGTTCCTCTTTGTTTAAGTCTCTATTGGAACCATTTGGACATATTATATTTAATAAATAAATTTAAACACCAGTTTTGTTCATTTGTGTAAGAATATTTATTTGATCACTTCCCATTAGCTCGAATGATGCAGAAAATTGGTGTCAGATTTGTCAGCTGTCAAAGTCTCTGTTCATTATTTTTATATGCTCTGTTTTTTATTTGGTCATTGAATATGGGTTTTACTTGATCTTTGATATAGATTTGTGATTTTCAACTTATTAATTCAGTACATGATGAGAGTTTTCTAGTATACTTGGGGATTTAGCTTATTAGATCTTTGGTTAAGAATGCTACGATCTAATTTTATGGCCAAAGTTTTGGGTGGATTAGATTCACTATGAGATGATAAAATTTTGGACAATGACAAGACAATATCTAGACTAGGAGATTTGTTTATATGTATTTTTTTATTTTCTCAAATATTAATTGTTGAAATGATTAGTTTCTTAAGATGTTGTCGATATTGATGTCTTCAATCTTTCAACGATATGTTCATATTTAATTTTGATCAGCTCGACAATTGAAGTTTGATATGTGATCATTTTCGTCAATTGTCAAGTTTTTAAGAATTTTTGCATTACATGTTAGTCCAATAGCATCTAATTTTCATTTAGTTGGATGAAGTTTTAAAATCGACATCACAAATGCGGTTTATTCCTCATGAGTTTAATATTAATTTGTTCATAGAATTCATATTTTACATAAAAAGAAAAAAACCGTATACGAATACAATTAAGATTAAGGTCACGAACTAAGTGGGGTTGCATGTGAAGAGATGAAAGAAAATGTCGGGGGGAGTGGATTTAGTTGAAGGTGAGACTTTTTGATTGGGGAGTTTGACCTCGTATGAAGAGCCAACTTTCTTATTTTTATGGCAATATTTCTAACGTGGGCCCCATTATAGTGCTGGTGATATCTGACCTTCTAAAATCCTTCTCCCTACCCAACCTAATCTCCTTACCGGATAACACAGTTAAAATACAAAATGTCGTAATTTAAGTAGTTGAAAATATTTTTTTTTATTTTAATATCTAAGCATTTTAATTATGATATTTAATCAACTGAATCGTGTTTGACACATTAAAAATTTTATCATGTGACTTACTATAAATTAACAAGTAATAGTTTGTCTTAATAATGAAATATAAATTCAAAAACACCAAATCGAGTGGTTGCTTAGATCTTCTACACCTTTTTGGCTTTAAGCGTAGATTGGTCATGTAATGCAGTTGTCGTATCCTATTCCTTGCGTGCCCGCTGGGAAGCGTCTGCTCAGTTGCAAGGCAGTGCGATTTGAGGGTTATTTACATCATAAGGGAATTAGAGATCGTTTATTTTGAGATCAACTATACATAAAATTGTGTGAGTTAGAGATCGTTTAGTTGTTTGGGCATGTTGACTTACGTCAAAAGGAAATTAGAATCATTTTGATTATTGAGTTTCATTCATTTGCTAAAATATGAGTAAGATAATCTTTCATTCCTTAAATATTTCATGCGTTTACTTATACGTGAGGAATTGGAAAAATGGAAGTTTTTCTTTAAAAAATTTGTAATCAAATACCCAAAAAAATAAGGAATCAGATGGACAAGGGAGTATTAGTTGTTCTGATTTTCTTTCAATACATTTCCTATTTTTAGGCGTTCCGATTCATTCATTGTCCCATTTCTGTTTAGCAAACATGTCCTAAATGTAAGAAATAAATAGAGGGTTCATTATAAAAATGTTATTTAGTATCCACACTTTTGAGTTCTATACATATAGATTCATAAAGGATATCCGATTTGATCAAATTTTTTTTTCCAGAATGATCTTCAAATGAAAGATTAAGCAAATTGAATTATTGATTTTATATACAGGGTCAACTATTTTCATTCCCTGTAGAGGGACGCAAGTATTATCTGGGATTTTGAATGGCAGTTCCTAGTTTGTATGGTTTTTGTTTAATTTCACCGTTAAGAGAAAAAGGAGTAGGGCTTAAAGGAAATGATTATGATTAATGTTTGTGGGGTTATATAATGTGTGTTTGATGATGGAGTGAGTGAGAGTACCGACTTCCAACAAGGGTGGATTTTTTTTATTTTTTTATTTTTTTGCAGAACTCCCAGTAAAAAAAAAATCTGAAAAAGAAAAGAAAAGAAAAGGAAAGAATTTTCATGCGCTGAGTATTTTTATTGGAATTTCAAGTTTATGATCAAAATTGTTAGTCTTTAAACTATATTAATAGATGAACATATTTGGTAAAAGTATTATGAATGGTCTAACTATTTGCTACAGTTGATAGACTAATCGACTTCAATTTTAGTTGATTTTTTTTGTACAGATTATTTTAGGCCTTCCACAGCAAGTCGAAAAAAGTGAGTATGATACTAATATATTGAACTTATGTAGAAATCACACTCCTACTGAGTGTAATACCAATATATTGAACTCACGCACTAGTGCAGCAGTAGTATTATAAGTATCAAAATCAGGTTGCCTGATTCTTAAATATAGGTATCACACTTACTCAAACTATTGTGAAATATCTTATAGAATAATTTATAAATATAAACAGTTTCGATCATAAACATGAAATTCGTCGAATCAGCCACGAAGTAAATTGAAGAACTCCTCTTCAATCTTAAGGAAGCAAGCAATTAAGGAAGCAAGCATTCCTCCTTTTTAATTAAAACCATGGTCATTTGGTTGGTGACTGTTTGCAAAAATTGTCAGGTGCAAAGCTTAATTTGTTAATATAATTAAGAAATGATAGTGAATTAAACGCGCGCCCATACAATACAATACGATCTAGACTCTGGTGGAGAAAATCTTAATCTATGATTTTAATTGTATACAAGTATGATTAAGGAAGAATATATTGGCAGTCAAAGCAGTGGTGAAACTGTGAAAGTGATGCATGCATGCCTTTTGTCTGTGTTCTTCTGGCTTAAGTATATTAGGTGTGTGCATGTGCCTTTATAAAAGATGTTATGTAGACAAATCGTATTTGGACTAATATAAACATCGATCAGTTGTAGGGATTCTGTCTCTTTCTATTTGTTTCTATTGCCTATCATCATGTCCGTTCTTGTTTGATGTGGTTGTCCTACCTCCTAAGTCCTAATCCACGTAGAAAATGGCCAAGTACAAGATTATTTTTTAGCCTTTCTATTGACAAACATATAAGTTCAAATAGTTCTGTACAAAACTTTAGCAAACATATAAGTGCTCCTTTAATATTTTGTGATTAATCTTATACCCCAACCCCTTCAATTATTTTAACCATATTAAACTATAAAAGTTCACAATTTTGACTATCTAAGCCATTCTTGGATCCACATAACCCTCATGCAAAATGATGAGCAAAAACGGGTCAATGGAGAAATGGAGATGATCGACTAAATCTAGGGTATTTTTAGGTCTAAAGTGACCCAAATAATCACCATAGATCAAAATAGATAAAATGGTGATCACAATGGGCATTTCGTGCAAAACACCCTAACCTTACTGGTGGTTATCTCCTTGTTATTGCAGTATCAAATCCGTGTTCACATCTTCTTTTACGCAATTCATTACTATTAGTTTCTCGCCACTTAGTACTATGGTCTAGTGGTATTACTCTTCACTTGTAAGTAAGAGGTCTTAAGTTAGACTCTCGCTAAAAGCAAACTTGTACCACATTATCACTAACTTATTGTGAAGCTAAGTTCACCTCCCCTCTCCTTAGTGTAGATAATATCGTCTATTAAAAAAAATTAGTATTAGTTTCTCTAAAAACAGAAGACACATGACAAATGTAGATAAAGTTCGGAAAATGTTCCTTGACAACTCAGGCTTTAACCTAACATACCATAAAGAATGAATAAGTTGAATGATTTTCATTTATATGGTTAACTTTTATATGTACGTCACAAGCTTTGGACTTGAAGTATTAGAATTCTTTAGAGAACAAAGGATATGCCTAATTAGGATGGTATTCTATGATGTAGTTCTCCCTTTTTTTTTCTCCCCTAGCATCAAGATCGAATAAACTAAACGATAACAAATGGACAACAACGTGGGATTGTGCAAATTATTACCTTATAGTTTTGTTTCTGCTAATGTGTATAGTTAGAGTAGAGTAAAATATTTATTAGAATATTCAAACTCAAGTGGAGAGAAGAAACACCTCAATAAGAAAAAATTGAGTTAATTAAGTTTGAAATAATATCGATGCTGGATCGAATTTAGTAACGAGTCAACATTGTTCAGTGAGGCAACATGCATAACCACTTAGCATGCTAAGAATGTATTGTCACTCCTGAATTATGTTCGTCTTCACTCCATCCTCAGTTTTACTATCTCTTTTTTGTTTCTGTTGAGTAAGCCCTAGCTATAGTTGCCTTGATTACGATGGTTTGAATATTGCCCGCTGCCCTTTAATTATGATTTTATACCTAGCTTTAGGCCTCCGGTGACATGCATATATATTCCCATAGCTACCTCCACATTGTTAATAAATGTGTGTATAATATGTGTACATTACATACATATGTACGCTTTTTTTTATAAAAACTTTCGTTAATTTTCTGTACACATATTAATGATTCGTTAAATTGCATGTTTTCTAAAACTCCAACGTACTATACATGTAATGTACACATATGTACGTACTTTTCACCTTTAAAATACATTACTATCATTTCTCAACAATACATATAATATTCATGCATTTTACATATATTTTTTAACATATTATTGGAATAAATAAATATATATATATGTATTTTAATAAAATAAAGATTATAATTTAAAAAATAGCCGAATTTTAAAGCATTATTTTAACCAATTTGTTGAATAATACAGGTACATATTTTTCACGTACTACACCCGTTATATTTTACCAACTATACTCTCATTTAATCCAATCTTTATCGATCGAGTGCACAGTGTTTAGCCCCATTTTCTTTTCATGATAACGTAATATGAATGAGGATCCTCTTTGAGTCCTCTTTATGAAGATCTTAGGGATTCTCAAATCGTATATATTCATTGTACATCGTGTGACCGTAAATTGTT